GTATAACCCCACAATGACACCACTGTATAACCCCACATTGACATCACTGTATAACCCCACAATGACATCACAGTATAACCCCACAATGACATCACAGTATAACCCCACAATAAAACCCACACAACAACAATAAGGGCACCGCTAGTTGGACAGAGTCTCATTAGTCTCGCTAGTTTCCCACTTTAATTCTGGCATGAATTAGGCTTAGCTCATGAACCTATACATGATTTTTACACATGTATTTTACTTGTAGGTTATATACACAACACTCGAAATCCTCTCCAGATTTTATCTATAAACAGGAATGACTAAACTTGGAAGTATGTAAAACCTTAAATGCAAAGCCCTAACGTAAATGCGGTAGTTACAATTACTAAAATTGGATGATCAATGCTTGTATTTAATCAGAAATATTTCCGAATATTTCTGTTAAGAGAATATTTTTCGTCAGGCTGAGTGGCTATTCATCACATATAACCTAATGAGCAGCGCCGGGTTAACCTGATTTCAAATTAAATAACAGAAAAATGGTTATTTTGAAACTATTTGATTTATTGAAGCGAGGTCGTAAAAGTATCGGGATCACGGAAGGTATTATGAAGACATCAACCACGTTCACACACTCCATTAACATGTATAAAATAAATAAAATTCATTTAAATAACGATAATCGTTATTAAAATTTCCAAGGTGACGCTCCAAGCCTTACATTCGACTGATATAATCGTTTACACTCAATGTTCGCAGCCTGCCGGTACTCGAACCCACAACTCGCTGTCTTTGACCCCTCATCCACCTCGAGGCCGAGTCTTTGCAATGGCGACAAAATGCGGGGTAAATCATTGGTATAATCAAGAATTTAATTTGAAATTATTCATATTACAAATTTAACTCAATTTATGAACTTGAATTGCGATGCTTTGGTACGGTACTTGGGATATTGGTATTCAATCGATAATAATGTCACATATAAGTGAACAATATTAAATCTAACATCGAACGTTGAGAGATGAAATCAACACAAACACACACACACGCCACACATACGGCACCAAAACACAAGGAGCTCGGCCTCCATATCTTATCAATTAGGTAAAAGCTTCAAGTGTCTGAAGCTTATAAATTTTAGGTCGAGGCTTGAGGCTTGATGCCAAAACAGCGCCTAACTCTGATGACTTCTTCCTAAAACATCCAAATGGATGGCTGGCCGCGCGCGTAAATATCGGCCTCGTTGCTGCAATTAGCGAAGTGCTCTAATTATTAAATGCTCCTCGCAGCCTATCAACGAATACGACCAAAAGAACGTGACGTGTCATCCCCCAGACTTTATTTCTCTTCGATCCTGGACGTGTTTTTCACGAATAATTTTTTAGGAAGAGGGTTGTGGGACGTACGTTGGCTTGATTAAATGGATTGCGTATGGAATACGTCATACGCTGCATGATTCGTTGTGTGGTGGAAGGATTCGTTGTGTGGTGGGTAAATTCGTTGTACGGTAGAAGGATTTAATGTTTGAATGAAGGGAAAATCTGATCACAAGTTAACCCCAGACAGAACTGCTACCTGTTAAAGTAAAGTTTTTTTAGCGAAGGATTTCTCAGTTGCTATTACTGATGGATACTACGTGGCATATTAAAGGCAATTCGCATGAGCGGAAGACATTCATCTTTTTACTGTTTGCGCGCACGAAGATTTAATTCCTTTTATTCTCGGTTACGCTGCAGATATTGTATCGCCTTCTTGCTCGTCAGTGACATTTTTTCCTTATTTTCTTCACCTGCCAATTATTTTCCGCAATACTTTGCTCCCCTAATTTTCTAAAAAGCATGTTTCTGTCCTAACTTTTGTATATTTCCTCGTTTCCACTTCTCTCCACGTCCATGTCCTTACCATCACTTTACTCCTCTCATGTATTCAATCTCATTTCAATTGCCTCCTCTTCTCATCGCCTTCCTCATTAACTTTTCTTCTTCCCCTGTCATTTTGATCTTCCAATTCACTACCCTCATTCCTCCCCATCTTCCCAGCCTCCTTCCCCTCGCGTCAGCCCCAATGCTGCTCAGTTGATTTTAGTGTCCGCTGAAGAGCAAGTGATGCCGGCCCAGCTAGCGGCAAACTCGCTACCGGCAGCGCGCGTCTCGAGGGAAACCCGCTAACTCTGCTTTATGCGACGCTGCGATAAACTTACGAGCGCCATTGCCAAAACAGTGCGCAAGATGCGCGTATTTTCATGCATTTCTATATGCCTACTTGCAAAACCATGCATTTTGCACGACTTGAATTGCACGAGTGTTTGTTTTGTATTGAAAAAAACATCTCAGAGGTGATGCACTACACTGAGAGACATCCGAGAAACATTGTCTAAATAACGATGCTTTTGTGGATCACCTTGAACCAGGCTATCCTGGTATCAGTGCTATAGCCGCTATCTGTTCATACTGTATATAAAAAAGTGAACCACTATTGGGACAATGTGAACTCGCTTGTTATTAGGACATTTCTTTGTTATGGGGCTAACTGAAGTAATTTTATTGATGATATGTCCGATGCAATTGAAGTTTTCTTTCAAAGTAGCTTCCTCATACTCATCTGACAATTAAACATATTCTTATTCAATATATTTTCATCCCCATGGCTGTTTCCCCACGTCTTCCTCCCCTCAGTTAATAGATCCTACCAATACATCGTACGCATGCCCCATGGCTGTTTCCCCACGTCATCTTCCCCTCAGTTAATAGATCCTATCGATAGATCGTGCGCATGCATTCTTTCTCGCTTTTTACGGGTCACGTTATCAGTAAATAGCGGACGGTAATTTCATCGCCATGTTGAAATTGACGAATTAATTCACCTTTAATCAGTTGACGTAATCTGACATGCGTCAGCCGCGCAAACTTCGATTTCTCATAATATTAATGCCCAATTAAATAAAAATTATTGTTCATATCCATTGTTCATGTACCTACTGACGAACGAAGTCCCATGATGAGTGAAGTTCTGAAGAGACGTTTGAATAATTCAGTTATACATAAAAGCATGACGTCATCACTTCAACACTATGTCGATGTCATCAATTCAACACTATGCCATGGGATTCCGTCAGGTTATAATATTAGTGAGGTAAATATTTTCATGATATTTAACAAGTTTATTGTCTTGGTGAGGCAAACATTTTCACGAGACTTGAATATTATATTTTTTGAGGCGGCAAACATTTTTGTGAGATTCAACAATTTTAGATTTTAATGTACGGACAAAAAAATGATGATTTCGATAAGCAATTTTCATTTAGTGAAAGGATTGCTACATTTACCTATAATTTTTTTTCCGTTACTCGGTGGTCACGCTTATTCATTGCATGAGTAAAAATATGAATTTGCATCTCGATTATTTACCTGTTATTATTTCCTCTTCAGTATGTTACCGAACATTCAAGTTCATATATTGTAACGGCAATAATAAAAATGACTTGATCATTCTAGACGCTCTTAGTGATATTGGTATTATAGGACGGCATTTGTGAATAAATGTGCTTGATGAGCTTGTGTATTTGAAGGTTATGTGAGATAATGTAATGTTATGAAGATATTCATATATATATATGTATAACGAAAACGTTGCAACGGATTCACGCAGTTATTAAGATTAGTGACATTTGGATCCATTGTTGTTAAAATTGTTATTATAATTGTCGTATGGTTATCAATGCCAACGTAAAGATCCGCTGTAAGAAATAATGATTTTGATAAGATTTAATCAATTTATTATTTTGTTGAGCTATACATTTTTTATGAAGTTTATTTAGTCCAGCAAATGCAGGTGTGACGTCATCAATCGCTTGTTATTAGGACATTTAATTCTTCTGGGGCTAACTGAAGTAATTTTATTGATGACATATCCGATGTAATTGAAGTGTTCTATCAACGTAGCTTCCTCATACTCATCTGACATTTAAACATATTCTTATTCAATATATTTTCATCCCCATGGCTGTTTTCCCCACGTCTTCTTCCCCTCAGTTGATAGATCCTACCAATACATCTTTTTCCCAGCACTTTTTTCACTTCTTCGTCGAGTTGTAGTCGTGGTTCCCCTTGGAGCGGGGAGGCGGTAGAGCTGCCACCCTCAGAAGATGGGGAAGTTGTGGGGTTGTACTTCTTGCAGGAGGTGGGGGTAGTGCTTGGGGTTGCCATCCCTAAAAGGCGGGGTAGATGTGGGGTTTCCATCCTCAAGGGGTGGAGTGGCGTTGGGGTTGGCATCTAAAGCATGTAGGGAAAAGTTGGAGTTGTCATACCCAAAAGGTGGGGAGATTGGGGAATTGCATCCCTTCTGCAGGTGGTGTTGCTTTGGGGTTGCCATCCCCAGGAGGTGGCGAGGCTGTGGGGATGCAGTGGCTGCTGCAGCTTCAAGCCATTTAACTTATGAGATCCGCCCGCCAAAAGCCTATTATAAAGTTTTATCCGTTCTCCTGTGTGGATGTTTACCCGAGAGTGGTGAGTGGTGGGTGAGTGGTGGGTGAGGGGTGGGTGAGTGGTGGGTGAGTGGTGGGTGAGTGGTGGGTGAGTGGTGGGCGAGAAGTGGGTGAGGGGTGGGTGAGAGGTGGGTGAGTGGTGGGTGAGGGATGGGTGAGTAGTGGGCGAAGGGTGGATGAGTGGTGGGTGAGGGATAGGGAGCGGTGGGTGAATGGTTGGTGAGTGGTGGGTGAGTGGTGGGTGAGTGGTGGGTGAGTGGTGGGAGAGTGACGGGTGAATAGTGTGAGTGATAGGGGTGAGTGATGGGGTTATTTCTGGGTTGGGTGTTCGCTTTTTTATTAATAAATTTATTCCTCATTATTAATTTTTTTAATGAAAATAGCCGAATTTGTACGGTATATTATTAATAAAAAATTAATAACATTAAATTAATAAAAAAAAATTATCTAAGGATGTGTCTGCTTTCTAAAAACATAATTCGTTCAAATCGTAAAAATCACTCAGAGGCCGCGCTATAAAAATTAGTAACGAAGTAAATTTTACCTAACTTCGTCTGACAACCACTGACAGCTTATCAAACTAAATCCACTAATCAAATAGGCCGGTACGTGTACCAAGGCCGCTTTGTGCACTTATCCCGCTACGCGTACTGAGGCCGCTATGTGCACTTATCCCGCTACGCGTACTGAGGCCTCTTATGCGCACTTATCCCGCTACGCGTACTGAGGCCGCTATGTGCACTTATCCCGCTACGCGTACTGAGGCCGTTACTGGTACTCAAGCGAGTTTTGATAATCTTGATAGTACAACCACTGGGTCTTTTAATCCCCAGGTTTACATAGCTCCATAAAATGCATTGAAAATGAAAACTTGAAATACCGAACCACTATATTATATTTAAATCTTAATAATCTCATGATAAATGCAATTATGTCAACGAATAGGCGTTGGAGAGACTGTAAGAAATCCATAACTAATATTTTAATACAAACCTGTCGATTGGTGTAGACCGACCGCCTAGATACAGAAGAACCATCATTTCATGACTAAACAGGATGAAAATCATTGATCATGTTATTGAAGCTCATTGGCATTTGCATAACTTGGGATAGTAAGAAATAAGGCTGGAATTAAGGTATAAAACTTTAGAACGACCTAGACGAAGAGAAGCCACTTGGTACGGTTGAGCCAGAGGGCAAATTGAGTGCAAACCAGCACTTATTATTCTCTTCGGAGGTTTACGATCCACGCGATTGGAAAATTCCAAGTCCCATCACAAGGCCTCGCTAATTCTGACCTATTCTCAAGGATTATTCTCACAGAAACGTTCCATTGCGTAGTGTCATTTGTGAATTAAACTCTAGATTTGTTTAAAAAAATTAGGGAAGGGCCAAACGTGAAAGATTATCCAAAAAAACGACTTGCAGCTATAGTTCATCAATTAACTGGAGCTCCCGCGGTACTCGTAGCTCCAATTCATCTCAAATAACGCTCTCTAGGAAATCAAAAAGCAAGTCCCATATGTCCTAGAGCATGTCCTTCATGTCCTAGAGCAAGTTGAACATGTCATAGAATCTGTGCCACATGTCCCCGAGAGTTTCCTTTATGTCCTTTAGTATGTTTTACATGTCCCAGATCATGTACTAGATGATCAAGAACATGTTACATTAACCCTTTGGTCTGATCATGAGCGTGAGTTGAGTGATGTGCCTTGCGTTGGACAAAGACGAGTCGTATGATGTGCCCCAGGCCACGAACTGCCCAATGCCTTCGTTCCACATCTCTTCGGCAGGTCTGTCGCGGGCGTACACGCCTGTAGGGTTCGCTTTGTAGCAGTTCCAGTACCACCATCCACCGCCACCGTACCTTCCCGAACAGCTTCTGTCTGAAAAACGGGAACGTTTTCGACTAATACGACATGGACGTCACAATTAAGGGGAGCGTCTGGGTATTTCTGTATCTCGGTTATTTACAGACGGATCAATTCGAAATTTGGTACACGTATGTAAAACAGAAATCTAAGACTTTTTTGTTCATATAAATTTTTCTGATTTAAATCTAAAAACTGATTTTTGCGTTTTTTGCAATTTTTCATTTTTGTGGATGTGGGAGCATTTTCGTAAATTTTTCGATTTTACTCCCCGCCACCCCTCCCTTTTTTGCAGAATAAAATTCGAACTATAACGAAATTAGAAAAACGCCAAAGACCACTTTGTAGAACTTTTCTTTGGAAATGGAATGGTATATGCCTCATTGTTGTAGCTTCAAAACTGTTGGAGGAGATAGGTTTGCCGAGAGAGATGTAGGAGGTTTTCAGTAGAGGCGATAAACCGCCCACTGGCGGCGCGCGTGCTATGTAAAGGTATGTAACGTAACTTAGATACCGAAAGTATGTGTTATCTCACTTCAGAGTCACTCAGCAGTGCATAGAACGACTGCATGAACACCTTCCCGCATGAGGTCTGAGAGATAACTGAGCTGCAGGTCCAGTGATAGCACATTAATAGTGCCCGGCCGGAATTAATTTCCCTTGACTTTTGTTAAGGAACTCCACCCCCCTCCTCCTTTTCGTGAACCTTTACAATGCACAATACACTCGCGATCATTACCTGTACCTTATACCTTCACAATTACCTTCCTATATCGTCTTTTCAGTGCCTGCACTCACGCAGTGGTGCTGGTGTGTGACGTGGTGTGTGAGAATACGGGGCATTCTTCGAATGTTCATGATTTATTGAATGTTTATGATATGTGCAGGTAAACTGTCTGATTTTTGTTTGATCTCACCGTCTGGATCACGATCGCGATCGATGGTCGAGAACTGCATGCCGTCGTGGAAGGTGAGGGCATCTAAGGCAGAGCTACCCTTGGCGTCGTAGCCGCCGACCCTCAGTGTGTAATTTTTACCGCCTTCCACTCTGGTGGATCAAATTACACGCATAATACCATATGAAGAACATTGATCTGGATAACTTAACAATTTTTGTCGTGTAAAGCTAACATTTGATGCATTTAAAATGATCAGTCTTAGTGATATATCTCTGATTTCAGCGGATAAACAAAAATTCATTCATTGAAAATTTGAGCGAAATTTTTAAATTCAAAAAAGTTCCTTCTGTACCCCAACATTCCTTCTGTGCCGCAACACCCCCTCTGTGCTCCAACACTCCCTCTGTACCCCAACAATCCTTCTCCACCGCAACACTCCCTCTGTACCACAGCACTCCCTCTGTACCCCAACACTCCTGTAGCACAGCAATCCCTCTGCACCACAACACTCCCTATGTACACCAATACTCTATCTGTACAACAATATTCCCTCTGCACCACAACAAAACCTCCCCTGTCAAAATTTAGACGCGATTGTCGTTCGGGTTTCGGTTGTCGCTCTCGGATTAGAGATGAATTAGATGTGAAATGGCCGCCTCCCCTTATCTGCCTCCCAATAGGTGCTATTTTGAGTAGTTCCATGGTAAAAACTATAAGGGAACTACTCAAAAAATATATAAGGGAACTACTGAAAAATAAAAATATTTTAAACACAACGTTGTTTATTCAGCAGGATACATGGATTTAATAGGTGAAATTGGCTTGACTTGCATTACCTCGAATAGTTATATTGATGCATCGATTGAATTTTTTACTTACGATTATTGCCCTCATTTCTAACCACGCCATGTCAAAATAGTTACTAGCTGTAAACGTCTATGCATGGAAATTGAGCCTCTGATATACTGTGCTCTGATCTTAAAACTAAGCGAGTAGTACTAGACTGCATGTATATATAGCAGGGGTCTCCAAACTTTTTTCACCAAGGGGCAAGAGCAAGCTTACTGAAACCTTCGCGGGCCGGAGAAGTTTGTGGGCGGAGGGGGGAGGGGCAGGGAATTGCACAAATTACGAATAAAGTGCGGTATTCAAAATTATCGCACGAATAACTATTTTATTCTGCACTTCGTTTTACGGAACAACTGTACACAATCTTTTGTCAATTATTGGCGTGATATTCTCGGCACTTATTTACAGAGGGGACATAATAATTATTGCTATATTTATTGGAGTGTAATCTTAAGAAATATTCAGCTTGAAGCAACAGTAATGAGAGGAATGAAATTGTTTCTTTTCATGCAAAATGGCATTGAGCTCTGGATTAAAATTACTGCTTCCTATCATCAAAATTGTAATGTTCATCGGATAAGGCTGCTCTGTAGCTAGACTTGACATACTTCATCTTAGAAAATGTATGCTCACATAAATAGGTTGTGCTAAAAACGGAAATAAAACCACACGCAAAGGCTCGTAGATGAGCATATTCATCGCTTGGCAGACACTTGCTAAAAGTCGATCAGTTCACCTTCTCTGAATCAATTACTTCCAATTGAAGTTCAGATGGCAAATCTTCAATGGCACAATCAAATGGATTTTAGAAAATCTTTAATTGCTGCAGATGCAAAACGTTCTTAAAATTGCTGTTTCAGATTGCAAATAATGCTTTGTGCAAATCTTCTTGGGAATGAAGTTTGAGTTTCTCGCTCAAACTTTTCACAACAAGGAAAGTGCGTGAAACAGTTCCTCATCAACTGGGTCTCATAACATAAATAGCTCCTGTCGAAACGCCTTCTCTTTGGTATGCATATTGCAAATGAGCGCTGTTTTGCCTTTCAATCTAAGATTGAACTCAATCATGTGTGTGGTCAGATCCACAGAAAAAGCTAATTTCCAATGTGTGTAGCGGCTGGGGTCGATTTTTTTTTCATTCAGGAAAAATTAAATTTCTGCTCGGAGTTCAAACAATCGTGACGACACCTTGTCACAGGTATACAAACGAACCGATGTGTGATTGGGTAAATCTGGATATTCTGCTTCTATCTCCTCCAAGAAAGTACGAAATTAACGATGGTTAAGTCCGTGAGAACGAATGTAGTTTGTTAGTTATGTAGTTATTTAGAATGTGTAGTTAGAATTGAATTAACAGGTTCCATCACAGTGCCTGCTGGTGAATAATGCAGTGAAAAACCAAACGCTTGGGACAGCCCACAAATGCAGCAGCATTGTAAACCTTCACCATTAACCATTTTCCAGAGGCGTACACGTTTCTTCCACCATCGGTTATGACACACTTCAACCGTTTCTACTCCAGGTCGTAACGGAGATATTTCTCGACTTCTTCGAAAATTTCCTCGCCTGTTGTACCATGCATGTCGTGCACATCGTGCACAGGAGCCAACTCTTCTATCACTTAAAAATTTTTGTTGACCCCACAAACAAACAACAACTACGAGGTAGAAGTGACATCGGTTGATTCATCAAGCGCGAGAGAAAAGTACTTGAATTCTCTGGCTTTTTCGTTGAGTTGAGACACTATATTTATTCCAATATCATCAACTCGACGGGCAATTATATTTGCCGAAGGGCTGATAGATTTAGGCAAGTCTACTTTTTCCGGACAGAGTTCGTTGGCTGCTTCAATGATGCATAATTTCATTAACTCACCATCGGTAAAGGGTTTTCCTCGCTTTGCCAAAAGATGTGACACGCGGAAACTTGCTCTTGTTGCAGCTTCATTCTCGACATTCTTTTTCTCGAACAAAGATGGTTGCGCTGCCAAGTTGTGTCTCGGAGCTTTCAACTTGTCTGTAAGAAGCTTTTTTTGAGTTGCGAATAGTATGACGAGTGTTTGGTATTATAATATCTTCAAATGTCGCACTCTTTCAGCACTGCAATACTATCGTTGTATATTAACCATAATACTTTGTTACCAACTTATCAGACTCGATAAAAAAGTTGCATGCACCCCTCTTTTCCTTGAATTCACGGCATTCAAAGTCCACATTTCTCTTCTTTCCTGGTCCCGACATTATCACCTGAAACAATTCCAAACTTGGGTTCACACGAGCAAGCAGACCAGGACAATAATGTTCTCCTCAATACAAGGGTCTTGGGTGGTTCATGTCAACATTTGTAAATATTTTATCTAATTTTGGAGACACCAGTCACGCACATTTACGGTTTTTTAGTTCATATGTAATCAGAAATAAACGCCACGCTCTATTTTTGTATACATTATTTTAAAATACGAGATATCCTCGGCGTGCCAGATGGAACCTAACTGCGGGCCGGATCCGGCCCGCGGGCCGTAGTTTGGAGACCCCTGCAGTCTAACTAATGGAGGAGTATGATGGGTGGGGGTTAAACATTTTAAATGTCTAACAACAAATTTTACGCAGCGAACAGAATTAAGTAATTATATGAAATAAAAACCGTAAAGTATATGGATTAAGTTTGCCATCGATGTCGTTTGAACCACCGAATGTAGTTTTTATTAATTAATGTGTTCAAAAAATAGAGAGGTGGCATGATACTACGATCATAATTCACCGATGGAATTATGTGAACCGCACCAAAATATGATACAATTGTGAACCTCACCTGAAAATACTGAAATTTTGAAGACCTTGTTTGAATAACCGAATTTACATTCCTCAATGTCTGTCATTAGGCAATGCACTGTCATCACAATATCAAGCACTTTCATCCGAAAATCATCGTGACCTAAACATTTAATAAAAAATGTGTAGGCCCAAAATAACCAAACATTCATCTGTTGCTTATTCTGCCAATTATCGGCTAGCATATGATAGTTATGTTTGTTATGATATGAATTTGAAATTTATGTCGTGGAGCAACAGGCGTTACTTTTTACTGCCACGTACCTGCAAGTAGTTTTTTCTGCTCTTGCACCCTTAATCATATTTCCATGCCAAATAATTTCAGATATTTGTGTCCTATAAATAATTAAAGAAATTGTTATCTTATAACACGGAAGCTAAAAATTGGTAAAATCAATACTCATTTCGTTCCATCATTTGCCTTGACAAACGTACGCGTGTACATACATCGACACCATTCCATGAGCGGGAGATGGTCATGGTTCGCATCAATACTAGCGTCTGATATGAGACAGCTTGACCAGCAGCTCTTTTTGGTTATATTACGCAGATTCGGCCCATCGTGCAGTAGAATCCCACAATAAGCTTACAATTTCCTGCTAAATAAGGTAGGTGGCCGAATTGAAGCTGATTCACCTAAAGAGGTGAATCAGCCGAGTCTATAGAACCCGGGGCAATCTTGGCTGGAATCCAAAATTCGACTTGGTAGCAAGCAATTAAGTTAGTGTGGATATCGAGGCTTACTTGGCGATCGCTGGTAAATCGTGAGCCTCATATTGGCTACAGTTCATGTGGTTTCCGCAGTCGGCATACTGAAGGTCAGCAGCGGACCCTTGGGTAGAATTGTACCCAGGGTGGGTCAGTTAAAGTGTCTCAAGCAGAAACCCGACCCCAGCGCTCGTCATCGCTGTCCAGAATAATAGTACGTTGACAGCAGCGAGAACAGGAGCGGCGCTCAGGCGTCCCTCAGGCGAATTTAACAGACGCGTCAAGGAAACGCTATTTATCTCTACATTGATAAATCAAATCTGGAAGTGATTAACGGTCGCTCGAAAAATAAAATTTCAATATTTAATATAGTGTGATACATTCATCCTGACGTACAACTGTTGAACTATTATTATAGTTCAATCATTATTTGTAGTTAATAGATAATTAGTTATGTATAAATCATAGTTGATAGATAGTTAGTTAACTATTAACTATAGTTAATAGTTAATGTAGGCTGACTAGAGCGATGGTAGAGGAAGCCATGAAGAGCGGGCTGGTATTTGCAGGATGAGACGTGTGGTACAACAACTTCAACTTAATACAGGCATTCACCCGGGGAAATAAAACGGGAAGAAATCAATTAGGGACAGAAAACTTGACGAGATCAACTGGGTACAGAAAACGGAACAAGATCGACTGGGGCAAGATAACGGGACAAGATCAACTGGGGACCTCTCAATTATGGAATATTTATTAAATAGTTTAATCGTTAAATGAAATTCAAAAGCCACAGGCCAATATACTAATTTAAGGGGACCGGCTACCCTCCAGAAAACCTTCTACATTTATCATCCGATCTTGCTGAAATTTCATGCAAATACGTTAAATGTAAAATAAAAAAAAACGATTTGCTCGTATAAATTTTTAGAAAAAAATAAAGAAAACGTGAAATTGATAGAAAACGGCCAAAATGGGGGTACTTTAGAAAATCTATCTCCTCCTACAAATATCGTGCTACAAAATCGAGACACGTATCATTCGATTTGTAGCGACAATATCTAGCGCTCAGCGAGCCATTTTTTCAATTTTTTTCTTTGTTCTCTTGTTATGATGATTTTTCTGAAAAATTTTAAATTTTCGAAATTTCCCCCCCGCCTCCCCTTCCATTTTGCAATATATAATAATACTAGAACTAAATCGAAAAAAATGCTACGCTCATCGCTAGATCTTTCTTTTCCAAATCAAATGGTATTTGTCTCATTGCTGTAGCTTTAAAACTCTAGGAGGAGATAGGTTTGCCGTGAGAGAGGTTTTCAGGTTTCACAACTTTTCAGTAGGGGCGATAAACCGAAACTCGCTACGTGAAGGCATGTAACGTAGCTTAGATACCGAAGGTAAGCGTTATCTCACTTGAGAGTCAGTCAGCGATGCATTGAACGACTGCATGAACACCTTTCCACGAGATAGCTGGGAGGTAACTGAGCTGCAGGTCCACTGAGAGCACATTCATAATGCCAGGCCGGAATTAATTCCCATGGAGTTTTGTTAAGGGACTCCACCTCCCTCCTCCCTTTCGGGATCTGTCGAGAACGCATAAATCAACGTACAGAGATGATTCTGGTACCGTTCGATGTGGCAGAAAGTAAGCTTTAAAATGAGCATAAAAAACTGAGAAGCCGAAAATTATGATTTTGAGGGTAGCCGGTCCCCTTAACTTGAATGCCAAGCCCAAACGCGTTCGGAGTCCTGCCTTCTAATTAAAAAAGTTACGAACATGCAGTTAAATGCAAAAAAATAAACATAACGAAAACTAGGAGTGATCAAATAAGATATTAGCAATTAAGGAATGGCTTAATAATTCATGAATTCCTGCCGGAGCAACAATTAAGTGGTCGTAACAGCTCCACGTTTCAATCTTCAGGGCAACATGGGGCAGCGCGCCCCTCCCCCTTTTTAAAATAATTTTTGATGAAGTTTTAATTGATACGAGGTGGTTCTTTGTTTTGTTTAAAGGTACAGCTAATGAGGAATGCATGATGTGAATTAGACGTCTATAGTTATTTAATTTTTA